GCAGAAGGTCACATCAGTAATTTGGAAGACAAGGTAGGAAAAACATCCAGCAGAGCAGCAAAAAGAAAAGAATTTTTAAAGAATGAGGAGAGCTTAAGAAACATTTTGAGTAACATGAAGTATGACAACATCCACATCATGGGAATACCAGAAGAAGAAGAGAGTGAGCAAGGGATTGAGAGCCTGTTTGAAGGAATAATAACTAAAAACTTCCCTAGTCTGGTGAAGGAAAAAGACACACAAGTCCAGGAAGCTCAGAGAGTCCCAAACTAGCTGGGCCTAAAGAGGCCTACACCAAGACATGTCATAATTAAAATGACAAGGCTTAAAGACAAGGAGAGAATCTTAAAAGCCACAAGAGAAAAGCAGGTAGTGACCTACAAAAGAATGCCAATTAGACTGTCATCTGATTACTCAACAGAAACATGTCAGGCCAGAATGGAGTGGCATGAAATACTCAAGGTGATGAGAAGCAAAGACCCACTACCAAGGCTACTTTACCTAGAAAGGCTATCATTTAAAATCAAAGGAGAAATAAGGAGCTTCCCAGACAAGAAAAAGCTAAAGGAGTTTGTTAATACCAACTCAGTACTGCAACAAATGTTAAAAAGTTTGCTCTGAGAAGAAGAAAAAAGAGATAGAAAAAAAAACAGAGGAAAATAATTTAACAATAAAATGGCACTATGTACATATCTGTCAATAATCACCTTAAATGTAAAAGGCTTAAATGCTCCAAGCAAAAGACATAGGGTAGCTGAATGGATAAGAAAACAAGACCCATATATATGCTGCTGCCAGAAGACACATCTCAGATAGAAAGATACACACAGACAAAAAATAAAGGGATAGAAAAAGATATTTCATGCAAATTGGAAGTATAAAAATGATGAGATAGCAGTATTCATATCAAGCAAAGTTGACTTCATAACCAAGGCTATAGTAAGAAACAAATAAGGACATTATATAATGATAAAGAGAACAATCCAGCAAGAGCTTATAACCCCAGTAAACATTTATACACCCAACATAGGAGCACCTAAATATGTGAAGCAAATTTTGATGGATATAAAGGGAGAGACTGACAAAAATACAGTCATACTCAGGGATTTTAAAATCCCATTGACTTTAATGGATAGGTCTTCCAGACAGAACATCAACAAGGAGACAGAAGCCTTAGATGACACACTAGATCAAGTGGATTTAATTGATTTCTTCAGAACATTTCACCCAAGCAGCAGAACATACATACTTTTCAAGTGCACATGGAATATTGTCTAGGATAGACCATGTGTTAGGACACAAAACAAGTCTCAATAAATTTAAGATGACTGAAATTATATCAAGAATATTCTTGGATCACAATGCTATGAAACTAGAAATCAATCACAAGAACACTGAAAAACATGCAAAGACATGGAAGCTAAATAACATGTTATTAAACAATGAATAGATTAATAATGAGATCAAGGAAGAAATCAGGAGATACCTTCAAACAAATGAAAAAAGGACACAATAATTCAACATCTGTGGGACACAGGGAAAGCAATCCTAAGAGGAAAATTCATAGTATTACAGGTCTATCTCAAAAAAAAAAAAAAAAGAAAGAGAAAGAAGAAAGAAAGAAAGAAAGAAAGAAAGAAAGAAAGAAAGAAAGAAAGGCTCAAATAAACAATTTAACTACATTTAAAAGAACTTGAAAAACAACAACAAACAAAGCCCAATGTGAGTAAAAGGAAGGAAATAATAAAGATTACAGCAGAAATAAACAAAATAGAGTGTAAAAAAAAAAAACAATGCAAAACATCAGTGAATCCAAGAGCTGGTTTTTTGAAAAAGTAAATGAGATTGACAAACCTGTAACCACACTCATCAAAAAACAAAAAAGAGAAAGGACCCAAATAAATAAAATCAGAAATGAACTAGGCAATTCCACTGCTGGGATTATACCCTAAGAATCCTGAAACACTAATTCAAAAGGACCTATGCACCCTAATGTTCATAGCAGTGCTATTTACAATAGTCAAGTGCTGGCAACAGCCTAAATGTGCATCAGTGAATGAGTGGATCAAAAAACTGTGGTACATTTACACAGTGGAATACTATGCAGCAGAAAGAAAGAACTCCTACCCTTCACAACAGCGTGGATGGAACTGGAGAGCATTACGCTAAGTGAAATAAGCCAGGGTGAAAGACAAATATCATATGACCTCAGTTATAAGTGAAACCTAATCAACAAAACAAATAAGCTAGCAAAATAGAACCAATGACCTGGAAATAAAGAACAAACTGACAGTAACCAGAGGGGAAGGGAGAGGGGGATAAAGAGGGAAAGAAGGGGAAGGGTCAAGTCAAGGACCTGGCATGAAGGACTCAAGGATAAAGACAGCGGGAGGGTGGGCAGGACCGAATGTGGGAGGTGGGTAGAGAAGGGGAGAATAATGGGGGGAAAATGTAGGCAACTGTAATTGAACAACAATAAAAAAATGAAAGAGGATAAATAACAACTGACACCAAAGAAATACAAAAGATTGTAAGAAAATATTATGAACAACTTATATAGCAACAAAGTGGACAACATGGATGAAATGGATAAATTTCTAGAAACATACAATCTTCCAAAACTAAATTAAAAAGAATCAGAGGATATGAATAGACAGATTATACCTAGTGAAATTGAAGCAGTAATAAAAAAATTCTAACAAACAAAAGCCCTGGACCAGATGGCTTTATGGGAAAATTTGACCATACATTCTTAGTAGCAGTAAAGTTTCCTGAACCAAAAGAACAGTAGTATCTCTGGCAGTGGTTCTCAAAGTGGGTCCCAGGACAAGCAGCAACAGTACTGTAGGGTAGCTCGTCAGAAATGCAACTTTGCAGGCTCCATCCTAGCCTTACTGAATCAACAATTCAGGGGTGAAGGCAGCAAAGCTGTAAAAAGACCTCCAGGTGATTCTGATGTTTGCTAAAGATTTAGAACTACTGATTTGGGGAGAGGGGCTGAGTATTGGGATGCTTCCAAAGTTTCTCAGATTCCACTGTGGACCCAGGGATGAGAACCACAGCTATAGATCTCAGAACAACGGTTCTCAACCTTGGCTGCAGATTAGAGACACCTGGAGAGCTTTTAAAAGTCCAGATGCCCAGGTGGCTGGGCTGATTACATAGGAATCTCCCGGGTGGCTTAGTTTTCAAATCTCCCTAGACGACATCGTTATTAATGTCAAGCTAAGACTGAGAACCACTGCCTTTAGCCCTCCAAGGTTGCAGAATTCCACAGTGAAGGTACCAGGTGTGCTTCCTTACTGCCAATGGCAGAGATTTTTTCCATGAATATGGGCCCTTAGACTTGCAAATGGAAAAAAGTAACTGAACTACACTCTGGGCCCGTCAGTTACCTGATCTGCTTAGGATATGTTTGTTGAGAGTGAGTCTATGGAACTTTCTAGAAAGTCAGGTGGGGATATATCCTGTGGGACCATCAGACTCCTTTGGGAGTCTTAGACATCTGCAGGGGGAAAGAAAGTCAACAGGTATATCATAAAAGGTGAAAGCAATTTTTTGGTGAAACGACAGGATTGTTATGAGGGTGTTCCCAGACCTGCCCTTTGCAGTGAATATTCCAGGGCATCGATCCCTGATTTGGATACAGTCATGGGCCTCCTCTGGACTCAGTCCTTCTGGACAGTGGACATCAACTTCATGGGCCAAACTTCCCATTTGCATTTCTGAAAATAATGTTTAGTGTTTCCCCCAAGGCTAGTAAGCAGTGACGATAGGAAAAAAAACCCCTTTTTATTTTTCTTTATTTTTGTACGGGAGGTCATGAAAACTCTTGAAAAGGAACACTGTCTGAAGTGAATTCGCATTGGGCCATGCTGCAGCAGAGAATAGAAAGTCCTGGAACTCAAACCCTTTTTATTTCTTTTACTATCCAACCTGTGAATTTCAAAAATAACAAGTCATTATAAAAGTGAAACATAAGATTCTTCGCACCCACTGTTTTAATCATTTTAAAACCTTCCATAACTTGAGGTGACTAAAACATTTCTTTTTAATAGTTAATGCTCACTGCATTATTAGTACTTTCTGAACATAAAATAAGACAGCATGAATATTATGTTCTAGGATCCAAGTGTGGGAGGTATTTTGTATTTCTTCACTCAGCACAGGCTGTGTGTTAAGGACTGGAGGTCTGGAGACTAATAACACATTATTCCTGCTTTCAAAGAGCTCACAGTCTGAGATGATTAGTGTGACGGAGTGTATGCCGTGAGAGGGAATATACACCAGAAGGGTGCACTGACCAATTTGGCAGGGCCAGGGAGTGAGCAGGAACCATGAGAAGCTACTGGGACAGAGACTTGACCGGAATCAAAAAGGGCAGCAGGAACCAGCAAGCAATGCTTCATGAGATACACTGTGTTATTTAATCTTTAGGACAACTCTGTGAAGTAGGCATCATTAGTCACAACCAGGCACCAGGTTAGTGTCATGGAGCAAGTTTTGTGGGAGGACATCTCACTAACTACCCTATATGAAGGTTATTTCATTTTATATGTAATATATCATATTTGATATATTTATATATATAGGACAGCATGTATATATATGTGTTATATATATGTAATAAACTCACCTTTATACAGGCTAACTGGTTTAAATAACCAAGTAATAACATATACACTGTTTTATATATGTATTTATAAAATAGATTTTTATAAAATATATGTATAAAGGGGGAAATGAGACAACTACAAAGCATAATTAATAAAATATATTTTAAAACAAAAATAAATTATATGTATAAAATATATTGTATAAATATATGTACAATATAACATATAGTACATAATACAAAGTTTATTGTACTGTGTACATATAATCATATGTATGTATAATATATGCATATATATTACATATATATAATAGTCACTATATACACATAGCACAGCATGTTCCTAGGGTCTGACTCTGGGCTGTACACTTCCTTCTGTTTTTAGCAGCATGCCAAGAGATGAACCCGAGCTCTGGACTGAAATAATCTCTTAGTTGATGTTCCCACAATCAACTAATTTGAACAAAGTTAGTTCAAACGCTGAGAAGGAGTGCCTGAGAGTGCCGGAGGAGCCGTGGCCTGGGTGTGCAGAACCTACATGAGATTTGTGAGGACGATGCAACTGTCAACTGAACACTGAGTCCTTGTACACAGGACCCGTTGTGCCTTGGTGAACCTGCCCAGCGGGAGATACTTCTGACCTGAGTGGAGTGTTTCAGCGTTAACAGGTAAGGATGCTTGGCAAAGTCTCTGTGTCCTTTTATGGACTTCGACCTCATGTCTCTTTTACTAGAACAGGGTGGATATACTTGTATATATTTGAGGCAATGCAAACACCTGTTGTCAGAGACCTACTGGCTTAGAAGACCTAACAAGGTGTCCTTGGAAAAGCCACATAACTTGCTTTCCATGCCTCTCTTTACTTGCTGACAGGGTGACTATCCCTCTGGCAAAGCATGACTGTGCAGCTCACATGATGATGTGGGCAATTAGAAGATCCTTTTGAAATTGTTCCCTACCCCCATCCTTCCCTTCACAGGTCAAGACCATAATCCCCTCAGGTTTCATCTTTCTGATGCCTTCTTATGTTTACTCTAAACCATAATAATTCACCTAAAAATGTATCCTTTACTTCTGAGATTTGATTTTGGCCCTGGGATAAGCTGAATGTTCTGGTTAATACTGCAAATCGGACAGGTGGTCATTAAGATTTCTGCCTTAGAACTGAAATCAGTGAAGTATTGACTTATTTATAAAATCAGCAATTACTCTCTGAAGTGAGATGCCTTTCTCACATGCTCAAATCTAAATTTGGCATGCAAACAAAATATAAAGCTTTTAAAGCAAAATAAGTCTATAAATGTTGTTCATCATGCCCCTTCCCAGAACCAGGTAGAAGACCATATTGCATGCTAGAAAAATGGAAGAAAAAAAAAGACAATGTATTGTTGGCTTTCCTTGGAATTCTAAATATGTAATTTGAATTACTCTAATAATTCAAAATTTCAAAGGTCCATTTTATTTCAAAGAAAACCTCTTAGGCTAATTTGGGGTGAAAAGGGCCGCTCTTTCTGGCCAGGCATCCCAAAGCATGATTTATTCTTGCAGCATTTCTATGAGATGTTTTTTTTCTTCTTCCAAATTTTGTGGAAATGCCAAGCCTCTTTCTTCAAAAATTCAATGCAATTTGGCTCAGAAATAGAAGGCAGGGGAATAGGATACCAGTTATTTAATTCCACACTGCTACTCTCACCCCTGCCTAACCTTTTATTTAAAAGATTTAAAACTAATTTTCCATATAGAAACATTTTACCTTTTGATGTTTTTGGATATTCCTTAAAACCTCCTCTAAGGCACTGCAATGTAATATAGTATTCACAGGTGAAAACTACTTACTCTTTGAAAACAGCATTTCTTTTGGCTCAGCCAAAAATACAGGAATGTTTTCACTTTCCACTAAAGAGAAAAATGATTTCATGAAGTAAGTCTCACCTTTGAGGAATAACATCAAAATGTCAACTTCTAGCTTTGAGAAGTCACCAGCTGTAAGTTAATATTTGTGCACAGCCCCATGTCTGAATCCTAAAACCTTGCTAAGCTCATCAGACATCTGATACGTGTGGTAAACCCAGTGGCACGGTGCTATTGGAAAGAGCTGGGTGGATTTTGATCTGCTCAGAATAACTGTGTCTTGGAAATACCACGCAAACTCTGAGTCTCAGTCACCATGTCTTGAAAATGGGCCCGCCATCCTCTGTTCCCTCAGATTCTGTAATGACAAAGTAACAAACCAGGCAGAAAGCAGACCCTCCACCCACGCTGAGGGCCCTCTCCTTCACTGCCCCCCTCATTTCCCAGATCCAGAGCCAGCTCATAATTTTGTTTCAGCATTTATGGTAGAAAGAATCATGGCCCCTCAATGATATCTTCATTTCTGAAGCCTGGAAATACATTGCCAGACATAGCAAGAGAGATTTTGCAAATGTGATTACATTAAGGACCTGTAGGTGAAACATTGTGCTGGACTATACAGAGGAGCCCAGTGTAACTGTGCCAGGGTCCCTATGGGTGGAACGAGGAGCTCAGACAGAGAAGATGCAATTCTGTTGCCCTCAAAGATGAAGAAAGGAGCCATGAGCTAAGGAATGCCAGTGTTCTCTAGAAGCTGGAATAAGCAAGGAAATGGATTGTCTCCTGAGCCTCTGAAAGGAACACAGCACTGATAACACATTTATTTTAGCCCAGTGAGACCCATCTCAGACTTGGGGCTTTCAGAGCTGTAAGATAATACAGTTGTTTTCCTGGAGGCCACTAAGTTTGGACTGATGTGTTACAGCATGCATAGGAAACAAATGCAGAATTTTTGCAGAACCATGTCCCAGTGGCTGGGCGGGAAGTGCTTTGAGTAGCTGAAAAAGTGCTTCTAACCATTGGCTATCTATCTCCTGAAAGGACTCAGTGGAGGCCAGTGGAGTAATGATCATTCCTCTTCCTCAGACAAAAGGTTGAAGCTTCCAGAGCAGAATGAGCAGGTTGATGTAGACCAAACATTTTAGCACCGTTTCCTTTTTTCCCTCATGAAAAGGCATTTTGTATTTGAGCGGAATCATGTAAATGTACCTTCTTTCTGAGAATACGATCCTACAGATAGTTACAATGCTCACTTTTCAGACTCCTAAGACACTGACGGCCCCTAGTTTCTGAGAAAGTTTGAGCTCATGATTTTGTGTCGCTGTTTGCAACAAATCCTTGCTGAATCTGAGGCAAAGCCATAAAACATGACCCCTGGAACTTTATACCTCTCAGGGGAGGTGTTTGATCCAAAACAAATTCAAGCGAAACCCTTTGGATTTGTGCTTAAACACTGAACTGCGGCTATTTCAAGGGGGTAGTTTCGTAATTTTGAGGTCCAGCAAACCCTCTGTGTTCTCATCCAGAGACAGAAAGAGAAAGACCAAGAAATAGGGTAAAAGAGAGAGAGAAGAGAGAAGAAGTGAGGGGAGGTGAGCAGAGGGGAGGAGAGGGGAGGGGAGGGGAGGGGAGGCCAACTTGGGACAAGAGGAAACAAAAATCCTTTGCTATATTGTTGGACCAACCAGAGTGAACATCTGTGATATGCTTATTTGGACACCCTATCATTTGAACTTGAAACATTTCTATTAAATGCTAAAGAAAGTGTTAGAATGTCCAGTTAGCGATGAGATGGTGGAGCAGAGAAAGTGTCATTTGCCTGGGTGGTCCCTCAAATTTCTCTTGCCTTTTAGCCAGTGATAGTTATTTTAATAATAGCTCAGAGACCAAGAGGCATCTCCCTCTCCTTCTTCATGACCAAATTGTGAGGAAGTCCCCAATATCTTTCTCATGTCTCTGGAGTCTATGTGTGATGATGGCAAGAGTGTGTCCTACTGAGGGTAGATTTGAATAACTAAGACCTGCCTGCAGATCTCTGAGAAATCTCTTGCAGGAACATAAAAATCAGACTGTTTATGTTTGGCTCTGAGGGACACAGAAAAGGTGAGAGACAGAACGCTCAGTATAAAGCAGAGTTCTCTAATAGTCAGGGTTTGGAAGAGGATTCTGCGTTGTTGGTAATCTGGCTGGAGCTAAGGATTCTGAAGCCTATCTTGGTGCTCTGAGTGATGCATGCAATCTGCCATGGCTTTAGGGTTAGACAATGTCTTCACAAGTCACATATCTGTTAAACCTACTATAGATACAATTAAGGCAGTTTTAAGTTTCTGGAGACTGGAGATACATAAAGGTGTGATGACTATTTGCCAATGATGTTATAGAGAGCATTCAAAATACTAAATGGGGGATTAGGTACAATCGTTTATTCAACCTGTTAGCAAATGTTCTTTAAGCCCACTACATTCAATGATCTAGGCTGGATCATTGAATTAAAAAAATATCTGCCTTAAATATTTAAAACTTTGTTATTCTATTAATTTTGGTATAGATGGCAAAGGAGAATCATTAAGTAGATGTAGGAGTCACATTCTTCATGCCATGGAAAATGTAGAAAAAAAGTTAACAAAGTAATAGATCATTTTTAAAAGTCAGTAACAACAACAATAATATTGCCATCTGGGTCAGGCATGTGTATGTTGCATGTAACTTAATCTTTCAACAAAACTTTATAGAAATTATGATTACCCTATTCCTCATACATGGAAATTGGTACTCAGAGGTATTGCATAAATTGCCCAAGATCACAGACCTAGTAATACCTGGAGTGAGTGTTCTGTCCAGTTCTTCCCACATACATAGGGAGGTAACAAGTTAGCATGTTGTTTCTTACCTGTGACATTACAGAATGGTAGAAATGGAACTATAGCAATTATACTTAATTATTTGGAAGCAAATGGAGTTCCCTTCCAAAATAAGTTAGCTGCAAGTTTCATTTTATAAGTGGAGATTTGCAGACTCTCATCCGGGATAAGCTTAGTGACAAGTAGCTGGCACCTGGTGCTTGCAAAAGTTAAGGCAAATTGATTCAAATACAAAAAAAAAACAAAAAACTGGTTCTTAATGCTGACATGTGGTTGATGATTTAAGAAGCTCTCAATTAGCTAAAGGTAGGATTATTTCTGATGTGCCAGCACCTGAGGAATTCTTGGAAGATGCAGCAGAGGGGGAAACCATCCTGAACATACTCACAAAATCCTGATTCAGGCACTTCCATGCACTTCAACTTGTTCACTTCCTCAATGGCCTGAAAGGGTCAATGCTACTAACTCCATTTTTGCAGGAAAAAAAAACCATTGAAATTTAATATTTTGTTCCAGATCATGCAGATTATTAGACTATTGAAGGCGGTTATTTGGTCAAAGGCTGGCAATTTACACATAGCTATGCATTTATATAATATGGCAACTCAAAATGCTTTTCTGGGCTACACTGTTGTTCTAACCATCCCTTTGTAAGAGTATTGAAGGGGAAAGATGCTCTGAATTCCAAGCAAAAGATGTTGAAAGATGAAGATCTGGTGTGCTGGTTAGAACCAGCTTTTCTTTTTTTGGACTGATTAGATCCATATCAACCCTATGGTGAAGAAAATCAAACATCAACCACTCCACACTGAACCCTGTGTCAATGAATCTGTGGTGAGAGCCCTGGGAACTACTGAGTAGTGATGATGTGTGGATTTATATACCCAGACACTGGAGCCAGCTCCCTCTAGTCTGAGTTCCATCCCTATGGACTCTATCCCAGGGTTGGGCAGGAA